GCAGGCGGGGCAGCCGGCGGGCGCGGCACGGGCGGCGGCGGCAAGGGCACCAGGGGCGGCCGCGGCGGCGGCGCAGCAACGGCAGTGGCGGAGCGCAAGGCGACGCTGGCGCTGGCGTCGGCGCGTCGGCGGCTGGCCAAGGCGGAGGAGGACAGCGGGGCGGCCCAGGCTGCGCTGGCTGCCCTCGACACGCCGCGCGGCGCGCGGCGGGGCGGCGCGGGCGACGCTGGCGCAGGGGCCGGGGCAGCTGGCGTGAGTGGCGCGGGCGGCAAGCAGCAGGAGCGCCTCGTGCGGGGTGCGCCCAACGAGCGCGTGGCCGTCAAGGGCAAGATGTCCACGAGCGGCCACAAGTGCGTTTGGGTGCTCTGGGGTTGAGCGGATCGGCGGGGGTGGTCGGGCTTCGTGCGTGCGTCATGCTCGCATCACGACGGTGCTGGGGGGGCCCTTCTTGCAAGGCACATGCATGCGCCGCCGCCGCCTGAGGCGCTCCCAAGGCATGCCAACGTACCATCTCAGCCGTGCGGCGCCCACTCCCAACCATGACGCTCCTGAGGATCGTCTCCACACTCTCACACACGGGAGCTTTACCGTTGCCCCGCTACGCCCCTCCCCCCAGGCCTCTCACGGGTGACTGGTGGAAGGACGTGGACCTCTCATCTGACTCGGCCGACGAGCTGGAGCGCGCAGCAAACGGCAGCGCGGGCGGCAAGGCACGCGGCGGCAAGGCCCGTGCTGCCAAGGGCGCCAGCCGCAAAGCTCGCAGCGACAAGCCCACGGCCCGTAGCAGGGAGAGCGGTAGCGAAAGCAGCAGCAGCGACAGCAGCAGCAGCGACAGCAGCAGCAGCAGCAGCAGCAGCAGCAGCAGCGACGAGGACGACAGCGACTACGACGCGTCGGGGGACGGCGACGAGGAGCGGACGCCGGCGCAGAAGGTGAAGCGGCAGCCCGCGCCCAAGGTGGAGCGCCGCAGCAAGAGCCCCAGCCCGCGCCCGCCGTTCGGCGGCGGCGCGTTCCCAGAGCGCGCCGTTGCGCGCCGCGGCGGACGTGGCAGCGGCAGCGGCGGCCGTGGCCGCAGCACGGCGGCCGGCCGTGGGGCTGTCCCCGTTGGTGGCGGTGGTGACAACAGCGATGACGACAGCAGCAGCATGGACGTGGGCGACAGCGAACCAGGGGACAGCGCCCTGGTTGGTGGTGGGGGAGCGGATGCCAGGCTGGCCGGGGAGCTGGCGGCTGAGGCCGCTGCGCTGCGGGGCAGCAGGACGCCCTCGGGTGAGACGAGGGGGGGGGGTGGGTGGGCATCATCGCTGTCCCTGACTGGGGGCCCGGCCGCTGTTTGACGGCTGGGGCCCGGCCTGCAGGAGCCTGCATGAGGGCGGGGCTCTCTGACCCCATGCCCCTTGCCTGTTCTCCCCCCCTCGTTTTGGCCCTGGCAGTGGACGAGGACTCTGTGCCGCAGCTGCTGCGCCTGCGCGCCATGCTGCTGCGGCTGGCGGCGGCCCTGGAGCTGCCCCCAAACCCGCTGGACGACCTCACGGACCGCATGGGCGGGGAGGCCGCGGTGGCGGAGCTCACGGGGCGCAAGGTGGGGCACGCTGCTGAGGGTGCTGCAAGCGCTCCATCGCAACCCCCACCCTCCGCTGGCCGCCTGCTGCTGCGCCTGCTGCTCCTGCAATATGCCTTTTCATTGACCTGCCTCTTCTGGAATCATGGCCGTAACGTGTTGATCGCGTGTGCACGCACGCATGTTCACGTGTGCGCACACGCACACTCGCCGTGCCTCCCTCTCACCCACACACACACGCACACATGCACACATGTACACACACCTCATTCTCCCCCCAAGGGCATGCTCGTGCGTGCTGGTGACTCCAAGGTGGAGTACCGCCAGAGGGTGGAGGGCGTCGCGCAGCATATGGCCAACATGGCCGAGAAGCAGGTGCGTTCACGGCCGCCTGTAGCCAGCGCCTGTTTGTGCATGCGTCAGAATCCGCCTGCCTCAGGGCAGCCACTGGCAGACCGACAGCTCTGCAGATATTGCGTCACTTCTGATACAAGTTGGCATTGCTTTCTCTTCGTGTTGGCGCTCTTATGCCACCACCCGCCTTCCCTGGGCCCCAGGCGTTCATGGAGGGCAAGAAGCTGATCGCCATCATCAGTGACGCGGCCTCGACAGGCATCAGCCTGCAGGCGGACAGGAGGTGCGGCACTGGCGTGCGTGCTCATGAGGGGAGGTTTCAGGGCAGGGCCCTTCCCCCTTGGTTTGAAGGGCGGTGTTCCGCGCGTGTTTGCACCCCCTCAAGTGGCTGCCTCAACTGCCGCTGCCCACTGCTGGGCCCACTTGACCCCACTGCTCATGATCTGCCATCCCCCAACCCTCCCAGGGCCAAGAACCAGCGGCGCCGCGTGCACCTGACTCTGGAGCTGCCCTGGAGTGCTGACAAGGCCATACAGCAGTTTGGCCGCAGCCACAGGAGCAACCAGGTGGGGTCCCCCAGACGTGGCGGCCGCTCTGTCATATGCAGGACGCGGGGGGTCAGGCATCTCCAGACCATCAAACCTTTTCTTACGCCCCCGCATTGCATGTCTGCCTTATTGACACGCAAACATGCATAAATCTTCGCACGTCCACACACATGCACACGTGCGCACCAGGTGTCAGCCCCCATCTACAAGCTGCTCATCAGCCAGTGCGGCGGGGAGTGGCGCTTTGCAGGTGCGCGGGCGGCCCCCGCATGGCACAGAACAAGTTGATGAGCGTGAATGTTGGTCCGGACTGCTCTTGGAATCCTGATGGGCGGACATCTCACGCATCATGGTATTCTCTTGTACATATACCAGACCCACTTGCACACGAGCACACAAGCAAGTGCGCTCATTCGTTCTTCTACACATCCATGCAACCGTGCGTCCACTGGCACAAAGCCTGACATACACACACATACACACAAGGTCACACACCACCCCGCTCTGAACAAACACGAACTATTCCCCCCCCCCTCCCTCTCCCATCCCTTGCAGGCGCTGTGGCAAAGCGCCTGGCATCCTTGGGCGCACTGCTCAAGGGGGACCGCCGCGCGCTGGGGGCCGGCAGCGAGCTCAAGGGCTTTGACATTGAGAACAGGTGATAGGACTGGACGCGGGGGTTTACGGCGGCAATAGGGGGCGTTGGGCTGACGCTGCACATACAGCAGCTCTGCAGTCGTCGTGCAGTACACAGGCTGCATTTCAGTGTAGCAGTCGGTCTCTCTCCCCACCCATGCTCCCCGTCTCCTGGTGCGTACCTCGCACCTGCTGCAACGCACCCGCTTTACCCCCCCCCCCCCCCGCTTTCAAAGGTGGGGCCGTGAGGCGCTGTCCCGGCTCTATGACGAGGCCCTGGGCCTCCAGGCCCAGCCCATGCCGGGGGTCAAGGTGCCGCAGCAGGAGGTGAGCGGCAGGCAGACGGGTGGGCCGCACTGCGGTGAACCGACCTGCGCAAAGCAGCCAGCAAAGTAGGGTATTGACCCTTCAATACTGCCTCGACTGTGTGCCGCAACGATGCACCCTATACGTGTGTTCAAGGCTTGCATGTTGCCAAACGTGATCGCCCTGCTGTCCCTGTGCCCACGCCCTCCCTTTCTCGCGTGTGCCCTCCAGGGTGTGGCGGCCCACATGCAGCACGGGATCTGGATGAGGACACTCCGGGAGACGCTGCGCAAGGTGAGGGGCGCGGGCGTGTTGAGAGCAGGGGGGCCGAAAGACACAGGCATCATGTGAGCATGCAGGTGAGTGAAGTTTCAATGTGGTGGCGCAGTGCAGGGCGCACTTTTGCAACCCTAAAACCTCCTTCGAGCCACTTAGGCGCTGGGATGTGTGACCGATCCATCACTGCCCCTTGCCCCTTCTCTCCCCCTGCACCTTGTTTGCGTGCGCTTCACATCATTGCAGGTGGACCTTCTGGCCAAGACAGAGTCCATGAGTGGCAGTGACATCATCGGCAACGGGGAGTTCGCCATCAAGGTGGGGGGAGAGGGCGGTCCGAGGCTGCCTTGGCTGTGCACGGAAGCAGGGGCACAGATGGTTTGGCTGAGATACGAGGCACTTGTTGCAGCTGCGGTGCCTTTATCCTAGATTTTCTGACCTCGTCCCCCTCCTTCCTGCCCCATATTCGCACTCTCAAAATAGACGCATACGCGCATGCATACCTCCAGCTTAATCCCCCCCCCCCCCCGCCTGCCCTCCACACCTCAGGCGGTCAACAAGACCAACATCCCGCGCTTCCTCAACCGCCTCCTGGGCCTCACCATCCCTGAGCAGCAGGTGGGGGGCCCTGGTGGCAGCAGAGGGCAGGGCCCCTCCAGGAACCCCTCCAATGCAGGGGCCAGGTGGCTCTCTTTGCGCCAGCAGGCGCGGAAGTGTACTAGCTGCACGTGATGCGGAGCATGTGCAACCATGCCAACAGCACATATGTGCCGTGTGGGTCCTACCCCGTACCCCTTGCCCCTGTGTATGCGTCAGGACTCCTCACCTTCAGCAAACATGCGCCCGCCCCCGCCACCAGGTGGTGTTTGACTACTTCTCCAGCCTCATGGACGCCACCGTGCTGGGAGCAAAGTCGGCCGGGAAGTTTGGTGAGGGCGCGAGTTTTGTCCTTGCGCTGCTTTGTCAAGTGTTACCGCCGCCCACTTCCTGCCTCCTTCGCGCCACCCCTTGAGCCCCGCCACATCTCGATTGCCCCCCGACCTGCCCGCGCGCACCCACCCAGATGCCGGCATCCGCAGCCTGGCGTGGGTCAGCAGCCTCACGGTGGACGAGGAGAAGGTGCTGCACACAGACAAGGACACGCGTGAGCCCCACGCGCCGACACAGCAGACCCGCACAGCCTTGCAGCGTGTTGGGGCCGCCAGCGTGGCCCAGGTCACCGCGCTGGCGACTGACCCGCCGGCCACGCCCCCCCCCCCCCAGCACGCGCGTCTAGGCCGCTGCTGATCACATAATGCAAATGCAAATCGCCCCCGCATCACCACCACGCCTCAGCCGTCGGCCAACGGGCATCGCCGACTGATCCATCCGTCCCCACCCACCCGTTTGTTGTCTCTTTTCACACACCTGCCCACCTCCCCTGCTCCCCCCCCCCAGAGGCTGAGACGCGCTACCTGCGTCTGGCCCTGGACTGGAGCCTGTCCTGGGAGAAGGCCTGCGCGTTCCTGGAGGACATCAGGGCAGACCCCCCTGGCGGCAGCCTGCTCAACGGCAACGGGTTCTACATCGACGACACCACCAACAACTGGGCGGGGACGGGCCACCCGCGCGTGGCGCTGGTCACGCAGGTCAGCTGGGCTGGGCTGGGG